ACAACTTAGAATAACCTAAAAATCTAAACCTTACTTGCTAGAGTGTTATTGAAATAGTTATGATTGTTAAATATATTGAAAAGAAAAGAACGGTTGATTAGTTGCTTACAACTAGAGCATGTTTGTCCTTTGACCATCCACATGCGCAAAATAAGATGATATTTGCTTGGTTTTCACGGTTTAAGGGATAACATAGGAATAAGAATGAAACGAGAATGATTTTTTTGAATGTAGGAACTTGTAGGGGGCTTTCATCTTACGCTCGCGATTCATAAGGTTATTTATGCATACTGTATGGTCATTTTGTTAAATTTGAGAAAACGAGAGACATGACTAAATATAAGAACTCAATATGTAGTCATTTTGATGAATATCTCATAAATATATCTATGTAAACATTGTCTAATGGTTTACCTTTTTCAAAAGTGTGTTTTAATTTTTTTCTTAAAATTAACTAATTTATCTTCATATTTATGAAATGTCTTATATATATATATATATATATATATATATATATATATATATATATATATATATATATATATATATATATATATATATATAGTTTCTTATCTAATTAGTTATTTTAAGCATGTATTTGAAGAAAAAGTATTAGTTAACAATGTAATTTGATGATTTCTTATATAGATATAAATGTTAAAAAAATTACAATTGCGTTAAGTTTTTCTTAAAATATAAAAGAGTAAAGGATAGTTATTATATATAACTTCAAAAGTAAATAAAATTATATAATAAATAAATGAACATAGGCGGTTTTGTATAGTGTCCCATAGTGGCACTGGCAACTCCTGCTTTGCATGTATGCAGTGCAAAAAAATTGATTTTTTTCTACAATCGTGCTACTATTTAAATTTCTCGTGCCACCCCTAGATGAAATCCTGTGTTCACAGTCCACCCCTGTAAATGAATCAGTTAAGTCAAAAATCTAAAGCTAATATATAATTTTAAGTGTTTCCATTAAAGAAGCTTGTGATCGACATCTTTTACATGGTATCTCTCTTCCTTCTAATGGTCCTATCTTATCACATCTTATGTATGCGGACGATGTTACTTTTTGGGAGAATAGACCCAAATAAATATTATAAACCTTAATAGGCTTCTTAGATGTTTTTACCTTGCTTCCGAACCTAAAGCTAATCTTTATAAGAGCAAGGTTTTTGAAGTTGGTGTTGATCATGTTGTTATAAACCACTTTGCTTACAATTTAAATTGTGAGTCCGCTTCATTTCCTTTCATGTATCTTGGGCTTTCCGTTGGAGCCAACATGAAACTTGCTCAGAATTGGAATCCAGTTATCGATAGATTTAAAGCTAAGCTTTCTACATGGAAGACCAAAAACCTTTCGTTTGGTGGGAGACTCACGTTGGTTAAATCCGTTTTGGGTAGTATTCCACTATACAACTTTTCTCTCTTTAGAGCACCCAAAGTCTTTCGAGAGTGTTAGAAGAAAATTTCTTTAGGGTGGTATTAAAGAGAAAAAGAAAATTCATTGGGTTGTTTGAGATATGGTGACTAGACCTAAGATAAAGAAGTTCTTGGTATATGTTGCCTTAGATATTTAAATATTGCACTTATTATCAAATGGTGGTCGCAATTGAAAGTTGAAAAAATGGTTTTTGGTCATCATGCTTTAAAATTATACATAAAATTAACGGTGTGGATGGAAAGCCATTTCCTAGATGTGGTATACGAGGCACTTGGCTTTCTATTTTCTAAATAAAAATGGAGCTGGAAGAATGGGGCATTTTTATTGATGATTTTTTGAAAGAAAGATGGGAGATGGTAAAAGTTTTTGCTTTTGGAAGGATAAATGGAATGGAGAGTTACACGCTTAAAACCATGTTTCAAATTTATATAACATTGAAGCAAACATGTAACACCCCCCTCTGGCACGTATCACAATATTATCCGCTTTGGGCCACTAGGCACGAGGACTTCCCAGGGGGTCACCCATCCCGGTACTACTCCCGCCCGAGCACGCTTAACTGCAGAGTTCTTATGGGATCTGCTGCCCTCACGACTTTAAAACGCGTTGTGATAGGGAAGGTATCCACACCCCTTATAAGGAATGCTTAGTTCTCCTTCCCAGCCGATGTGGGATCAGATCTAACCCACTTTCACCCCCCATTATAGGGTTCGACGTCCCTGTCGAACACATCGACCCGTGCCCCAGCTCTGATACCATTTGTAACAGACCCCTCTGGCACGTATCACAATATTGTCCGCTTTGGGCCACTCGGCACGAGGACTTCCCAGGGGGTCACCCATCCCGGTACTACTCCCGCCCGAGCACGCTTAACTGCAGAGTTCTTATGGGATCTGCTGCCCTCACGGCTTTAAAACGCGTTGTGATAGGGAAGGTATCCACACCCCTTATAAGGAATGCTTAGTTCTCCTTCCCAGCCGATGTGGGATCAGATCTAACCCACTTTAAGGGGTGTGGATACCTTCCCTATCAGCGGCTGGGAAGGAGAACTAAGCATTCCTTATAAGGGGTGTGGATACCTTCCCTATCACAACGCATTTTAAAGCCGTGAGGGCAGCAGATCCCATAAGAACTCTGTAGTTAAGCGTGCTCGGGCGGGAGTAGTACCGGGATGGGTGACCCCCTGGGAAGTCCTCGTGCCGAGTGGCCCAAAACGGACAATATTGTGATACGTGTCAGAGGGGGTGTTACAAAACAAATTTTGCATGGTTGTTGACAGGTTGACAAGCATGGAAGGGGTTGTTTCCAATTGGAGTTGGCGTAGACAACCTAGAAATGGTCGTGAAGTTGCTGCCATTGAGTCTCTCTCGGCTAGTTTGGCTACTGTGAGGCTGTCTTCTGTTGCTGATTCATGAAGGTAGAAAGTGGAGGCTTTAGAGAAATTTTCAGTGAATTCTTTTAGGCGACTTTTGGGTGATAAGGTGGTGGTGGGTTCAATTATAAATGCTTTCAAATGGATTAGTTGGATGCCTTTAAAGTCTAATTGTTTTGTTTGGACAATGTTCTTAAATCGGTTCCTGTGGCAAGTAATCTTTCTTCTAAAGGAATAGCTTTAACCTCTTCTATATGCCATTTTTGTAATCCGCAGAAAGAAGAGGTTGATCACGTATTTTTTAAATGTCATTTTTCCAGTTGCATTTAAAGTTGGTTTGGTGGCCGGACAGGTTTTTTTTGGTGCCCTTGAACAATAGAGAATATCTTTCTAAGTCTCTGGTTGGTTCGGATGTTGGAAATGAGAGATGTAAACTTCGTCTTGCCTTGGTTTACTCAGCTATTTGGTATATTTTGAAAGCTCGAAATGCTTTGGTTTTCAACAATAAAAAATGTTCTCATTTGAAGACGTCGGTTGACATTCAACTTGCAACTTTTAATTAGATTAAGTTTCGTCTTAAATTTACTTTTTTGTGTTGGTTTATGTGGTGTATTTTCGTTTTACATGCTTGTGATTTGTAACTTTTGCTAGGATCTTGCTAGTTTCCTTTTGTTTAATGCATTCGCCATTAAAAAAAATCATAAAAACGTTGAAGTAAATTAATAAGAAAAACATTATCTTGAATTATAAAAATATATAAAATTAATATATCGTAAATATGAACGCACCGCAAGAGTTAGGCTAGTCATATTACCCACCGTTCCACTGCCATGGGCCAGCTCTTTATCGCTATGTCACAACTCACAACTCACAACGTGGGGTCCAGGTCCGGGATAAACCAAATCTTCATTGGGTTTGGGTGTAGACTACCGAATTTTTCTTCTTTGTTTTTTCTTGACCCTTTTTCAAGTACTCTTTGACCACAGATATTGAATTTTGAAAAAAGAAAAAAAAAAAAAAAAAAACACACAAATAGGTCAAAGATATCATTTATACAAAAGTCAACTACTTCAATCTTGTGGTCGATTATATTGTAGAATGCACCATGCCTGTGTACAACAATTGTTTTAGACCTCCAATAATGTCAATTTTTCATTACATTATTTGATTAAACATAAATATAATTAGGTTATTTTGTCTTATTATAATTTTAAAGCGTTAATAAAAATATCAAAAAATTTAATGCCCTTTGTTCATTGCCGTAATAAATTTGATTCCCTTCAATGATATTTACATATTATGATATTTACATATTGGATGTGTTTATGCATATAGAAGTGCATTTTTAAATATAATCATTGTCAATTTCCATCTTTTTAGCTTATCATGTTCCATAACCCAAAAATCAACTTATAATTATAAATAATATATTTTTCTATATGTTTTTATATGGTATTTTATACTTTCATCTAGTTTATCAACTAGTTTTTAACAATAATTATTTTTTATCAACCATTTTTATTTTTTTTCAACTATCAGTTAATTTTCAACTACTAATTAATCTGTCAAGCATAAATTAAAAGTACTTACAACCTTTTAAAAAACAAATGACATAAAAATTTCGTTAAAAACTCACAACAATATATTTAAAATGATATTTTTCTAACAATTCAATTTTTTTATTGAAAACTTTTAAAATCTTTCAAAAACCTTTTTGGGAAACATAAATGCTATTTTCTTAAAATCTTATCCATTGCTTACGACTTATTTTATACACCAATATATTTAAATTGTCAATTTCCATGTATTTTAAATTACAACCGATAAGTTTGATGATAGATGAAAGAAAAGAAGTGGGTAAAATTACGTGAAGTATCCTAAATAATTTAAGAAAAGAAGTAGGTGTCCACATGGATTGTACATCTCAAAGACATGAATGAACCCAACTTTGCCAAGTAACTTCACAAACATCTTCCACATGGATTGGATATGGATAAAACCCGGTATTATTCGCCGCTTTCACCTTCTTCTTCACTACGTCATCTCATCGCCATTATTCACCTTCCACTTCCCATTTCTATTAATTTCACCACCTCCACTCATATATAAACACACCCACACAAGCCCACAACTTCATATTATAACTCCATAGCTAAACTCACATCGCAAAATTCCACAAAAATGATCGACTACGGACGTAAATCCAACTGGGTACGAGGGAAATGCATCGGAAAGGGATCGTTTGGGGTGGTGAGTATCGGTGTTGATGAATCCGATGGTGTTGTGTTCGCTGTCAAATCCGTGGAGAACAGTTCCAATGAGTTTATTGGGTGTTTAGAGAACGAGATTCGGATTTTAAAATCGTTGTCGTCACCATACGTCGTTACGTATCTCGGAGATGATGTGACGTGTGAGTCTTCTTCGGTGTACCGGAACTTACACATGGAGTACATGCCCGGCGGTACTGTTACTGACGTGGTGAAACATGGTGGTGTGAATCTCCGGAGTTATACGCGGTGCATCACGTCGGCGTTGAGCTACATTCACGGAAGAGGCATCGTTCATTGTGACGTCAAGGGGAAGAATGTGTTGATCGGAAACATTCCCGGTATCGCTAAGCTTGCAGACTTCGGGTCGGCGATTGAATTGGGAAGTCCGGTCACCGGAATACGTGGGAGTCCATTGTGGATGGCGCCGGAGGTAATCAGAGGTGAGTATCAAGGACCGGAGTCCGACGTGTGGTCATTGGGATGCACTGTGATTGAGATCCTCACCGGAAAGCCAGCTTGGCAAGACAGGGGAGCAAACACCCTCCGTCAAATCGGCTACTCCGAAGAGCTTCCGGAGATTACAGTTCCGATACCGGAAGATCTACGTGATTTTTTAAACAAGTGTCTTAGAAGAGAGAGAAGTGAGAGATGGAGCTGCGATCAGTTACTCCAACACCCATTTCTGGTATCCTGCTCTCCTCCGTCACCACCGCAGATCACGATCGACACCTGCAAATTCTCACCAAGATGCGTCTTTGATTGGTCTGTTTCAAGTTCTTCGAACCAATCAACGCTTGAGATTTATCAATTCGACATAAAGAACTCAAACGCAAAACAGCGGATTTGTAAATTAGCTTCAAACTCAGGGGCAAATTGGGAATCAGAAGGTTGGGAGATGGTTAGGCACGCGACTACGTTGGAATATTCTGATTCCGTCGATTGTGAAGAAAGCGTAAGCGGGAGTGGAAGGGCAAATTGGGAATATGCAGAATCTAATGCTAGTTATAATTACGATCATGAAAGTACAACCAATGATGCATGTGTTACAAGTACAACAAACGATTCGATCCATAGAGATCCTGTCGATATATACAGTTGTTATTTGTTTGTATTGATAAAAAAAAAATTCCCAATATTTTTCTTTATTTTGAATAATATCCAACACATTTCCTATACGCATTTTGTTGTCATTCTTTCGCATTTGAAAGATTATATAATATGATTTAGTATAAAAATTAAGAGGCAATTATAGTACGATGTCTTTATATTAATATATGTTACGATAAAACATTTTCTGATATAAAATTCTGAAATGGTCGGCGATATACAAATCACATCTACCCTTTTTGGGTGGTGGGTGGATTGGTGGGTGATGATTGGGCACACTATTGATCCAATAGCATAGCATAAATATCAAATTATTTAGGTGAATATAATCTTATTGATGTTTTATACTTTTATATTTGTTAGAAAAAGTTTTACAATATAAATGAATACGTTGATTGATGTTTTATACTTTATATTTGGGAAATCTCTGAAAAAATCATAATATCTTACCCTAATTTACGAAAAAGTTCCAAACTAAAATTGGTTTATGAAAAAGTCTCAAATACCGGTAAAAATAACGATTTGACCCTATTTTTTCAGTTTATCAGTTTCATTACTTAACTGGAAATATTAAAGTCTCGTTATTTTACTATAATTTTCATTAAAGCTCTATTATTTTACTATAATTTGGGACTTATTTTTAAATTATAGTAAAATAATGAGACTTTATTAAAACCAGTTAAGTAATGAAACCGGTA